TTGGTGGAATTTATTTTCAAAGGACTGAGAATCAAGAGAAGGAAAGAAAGAAAAAGCTGAAAATAAAGACTTTAAAGAAGAAATGACCCAAAAGAGATGAGAAGAGAAAGGATGGAGAGCGGAAAACCACCTCGAAATAAGCAAAATAAGGTACGTGTTAAAATCTGAGGGATAAAATGACTACGTCTCTGAGCGACAAGATGTGGAGGCGCCCTGAAGCCCCAGGTGCTGCTGACACCGGGGCATGTCATTCAGAGCCCTTTACAGGTGCCTTGAATGTAGTGTGATGGCTGGCTTCTACCAGCCCTTGCAGAAGGGAATGTGAGAGCTCACCCAGAAAGAGTCTCCTTTGTTTTCTGACATCACCTGGTGGGCCCTGGGAGGGACAGTGTGCAGAAACATTTAGAAAGCAGGTGAGTGCACTATAAGACATGTTCAGATGTGCTGGAAGCCCTCTGCCACGGGTGACCTCAGGTGGCAGGTTATAAGATACATGGAGGCACAGAAAATCTGATGGGAACGGCACTGTCCTGACAACTGCTGGACAGAACACAGAGCTAGAGGTGGATTTCACACTAGATGATCACCAGAGGTCTCTCCCAACCAATATTTCTATGACACCACAGCTCCATTTCCCAGAGCCTTAAACAACCTGAGTCAAAAAGGTCAGACAGGACAAACAGGACTTTAAAGGAAAATGTCACCAGACATTTGGGGCAGATCTTGCAGTACTCCCCTAGTTCCAGGTGCAGCCTGAGCATAACATGCAGGGTTTGGACCTATGGCAGGGTTGTACTTTTGCAGCAACCTTATACATACAAACCATGAATAAAAGGAACAAAGAAATTAATGTTGTCTGTCATTCTTTTTACTTCTGTTCTGACAAGCAACACCAAACTTTTGTGAACACATGAAGCTTTCAACTCAGATGAGATGCATGAGATGAATATGAGGGGAAAGCTGTGTGAGTAATGCAGCTGGCAAGTGTGCATGCATTTTGCTTGCAAGAAGTTCCAAGCCTTTCTTACTAAAATGCTTTAAAACATTTAAGTGCTGACTATATTGAGGTTTCACTCAGTTGCCAATGGATGTGGTGTCCAAGCAAACTTTCTTGAGGAGACAAAATAGTATAAGCATCATGTTCCACACCTTTTTATTGTAGTGATTAATGAATAAATGTGTTTAAATGTGTGTGCAGTGATTCCTGTGTCAATATGAACATTCCATTAATTGATTCTCTCTACTGGCTTGTTTGTGATGTTTCTATATTTTCTTAGGATGATATCTCTGTAAGGTAAAGTTACATGTCTCAGCTGAATTTATTTAATCCTGTCTGTTTTCATCTCATTCTAACATTACTCTTCTAATGATGCTAATGTGCTAAACAACCATGAACTAATTTATGAAAAAAATAATGCACCACTTAGAAAAAGTACTGAATAGGGTGACAGGGAATGGTTAAGGTGTAAGATGGTCTTTGTGTCTGGAATGATGAAATAGTTTGGGAATTTCAGCCTGGAGAAAAAGGAGGGGTATGACAGAGGTCTTTGAGACCAACAGTGTTACAGAGCAGGTAACAGCAAACAATTTTTCACTGTTTCTCAGAATATGACAGTGAAGAAACATCTGATAAAACTAGCAAGTGGCTGATTCAAAGCAGAAGCAGAAAACTCCGACAAACTGCACATACGTAAAAGATGTTGTGGATGGTAAGATTTTATGTGATTTCAAGGACATCATTGGACAAGTCCATGGAAAAAATCCTGAAATGGCTATTAAATATAAAAATACTGTCTTTAGTTCATGACACCCGCAAATATAATTTGCTACAGTCTGGGAAAATACCACTGTATGTTTGCCCTTTTATACCTTTCACAAGGCACATACTTTTGGCCATTACCATAGGTAAGGTAGTATGCTGCTTGTAGCTATGATCTGCAGTGGCATTGCCAGTGTCATGTCCTATATCATTGATGACAAACTTTAAAAAATCTAAAATGGAAATAAGACAAAGTCTATCTTCATAAACATTCTGTTAATTTCCCTTCAAGGTCAGATCTGGTTTTCTTAACCATTCTTTCTCTCTTTTGTGACTTTCTGTTAGTGTTATGAGAGAAGTACTTGGAGCTACCACATGATACTCGACTAGTTTAGCTAGACCTTAGCAGGTAACTAGACCTGGTTGATCTCAATCACTTTTTTGAGTTACACTTGAGAAGTAAGACAACGCTGAGATTTAAAGAAATTATGGATTACACCTCATTAATAAAATTCAAGGCCACAATTTTCAAAGAGGTCAGCAGCCACAAAAGAGGCATGATTTTCTGATAACCCCATTCTCAACAGGACACTGTGTTTCCTGGAGGGCTAAATGCCCCAAGCTCTTTTTGACCTTTTGAAAACCCAGCCTAAAATGTACATGTATTCATTTTCTCAGTGACTTCAAATAAACCAGGACTGAAAATAAAACCACTCTTGAGAACAGAGAGTGTTTCACAACATGTTCTTTGTACAGCACTCACGTGTTGTGCTTGCTTGTAATTGTGGCTGTAATCAACGTTGCAAACCATAGCATTCAAAGGACCTACAGTCTTAAAATGTCTTGCTGGACACAAAAATCAATATAGTTATTTTTAAAGCTTGCCCACAAGAGATGTTATCAACTCACTGGCAGAGAAAGAAAAGACAGTCTCAAGTGTTTGACACAACTTGTGCCCTTCAAATGGGCCAACACGGTCAGAGGACTTACTACAATTCAGAGAAACTCGTTCTGCTTTTCCTGACACCAGCTCTCACAATCTCTGAGCAGATTTAAGAAATGATTGCAGCTGTACAGGAAACATATAAACACTTGTGTGTGCAGTCTGAGTACAGTAAATGGCATGCTGGATCAGAGCCACAATTTATCAAATACAATAATCTGCCCTTGAGATATCCACAGGACGTATACCTCAGAAAGGAAAACCCTAGAGTAGACAAAGATGGGAATAGAGGATCATCTGCTTCCATAAAGATTGAATTCTAAATCCCAGGAGTTAGAGTTAGCTTTAAAGCCTGAAACATGAGTTTTGATATCTATCTCTTTTTTTTTTTTTTTTTTTTTTTTGGCAAGCACTGGTTATTACAGTTGGGGATTCCTGATTGTACAACATGCAAAGTTCCTTCTCGTCTTGCTAAATTGATGACCTTGGGGATTCCTTGTCAACTCACTGCATTAATCTTTATATAGGAAAATAGTTTGAGGAATAGAAATTCAGAATAGTTATGTGACATAAAAAAAAAATAATCTGCATACTTAACATTGAAAATTTATGTTTATTGCTAGACATTTTAGTGCTTGGTCTAAATTTGAGGTAAATGTATATACAGTTAAATTTTTTAGATCTCTTTCTCCATTGAATACACTTTCCTAGCTTCTACTAAAATGAATAAAAACTAGAAGTACAGAGGAAAGAATAGATTACAGAAATGTATATAATATGACAAGTATTTCTGCAAAGAAAAATATCTTCTGTTAAAGCAGATGAAATGGTGACAATTTTGGTTTGGTGCAAACAGTTTCAGAAACTCAGTTGTTCACAAATGTTGGCAATTTTTCTGGACGTAACCTGCTGTTAAATCTTTTCTGTCATGTTTCAAGGACTAATTTATGGTCATTCTTAATGTATACTTTTGAGGTGTGCTTTTAGACATATGAAATGCTTTTTTAGACAGATGTGATAAGAGGATATGTTATTCTGATGAAATTATTTACCAGAACAAGCAATTATACGACTAGAAAAATTATTTAAAAAAAATAAGGTCAGTGAACTATGACTATACATAAATTAAGAACCACCAGCATGGGATTAGATCCAGGTGGTATAATCTCTCTCTCTCTTTCCCATGCAGCTACCCTTATGACACCCTTTCCCCTAAACATCCGTATAGGAAAAGCAATAAGGAGATCTTAGTTGCACACATGTTCACCAAACTGAACCTTTACCTTTTAAAAATACTAACAAATCCATGCCCAGTACGGCACAGAAATTGACCTCCAATGATGCCAGGGTTTGATTTGCAC